CATAGTTTTCATTAGCCTTGTCTATATTAAATAATTCTATGATATGGTCCCACGAAGCCTGTAGTTTTTTTCCATTCATGACAAATTCTAGGTCTTTGGTTAAAAGGTTATTTCTCAAACATTTTGTCAGGTGTGGGACATCATATATTGGGATTATTTCAACATTGTCTATTTCATATGCAACTCTATGCATCTCTTTATTTTTATAATAAGCCTCTGTTTCATTTAGTAAATAGTTAATAGCACTTTTATTTGAAGGGCCTTAGTCACACACGGATGCTATTATGTTAAGGCCTGTACTTTTAACTCTTTACAACTTCTTTAATACAAGTAACTAACTGATTTGTTTTAGTGGTTCCTTGACAAAAGTAGTAAGCATAAGGTTGTTTCCATTTTTTGCTTACACCTTTTATCATAAAAACCAGTACATGGTCTGCAAATTTGTTTGTGACAGTCTTCCCAACATTTTCAAAACCTAACATTAAATCATTTTTTTTGTCATACTTTAGACCAGGCTCAAGAGCCATTTCATCAAATAAAATTATGCAAGTTCGGTCCATTGGTTTTAATTGTTTCACTTGGTGCTTCATATTTTCCTCAATGTGACTATTAATGTCGGGTATAAAAGGTATTTTTTCAAGCAAATTATTTAATGTAGTTTCACTAGGCAAGGCAAATATTTTAGATAAAAACTTATACGCTTTTGGAGAAGTCTTGAAAATATATAGAGCAAATATTTTATCTTTTAACATATACCTTCTACCATTAAGTTTTTTGTGTTGATTTCCTACTTGGCTTTCGATAAACTCTAAAGTAGTTTTGTTTATTTTTTCTTGAAAACCTTTGTAGATATTACTTTTTATAAACTTTTTTGCTACACATAATTTACTTTTTAATGATGCTTTACTATTGGACATTCTTTGAACTTTTGCTTTCAATTTAACCACTTCTGTATAAAATTTTTTTGATAGGTGTCAGTTGGCTACTCTTAATAAAACCTTCATCCCTTAATGTTTTTCCTAATTTCTGTGAAAAACAAATTGTTTATACTTAGTTATTATGTTCTTATTAACTTATGGATATTATATTATTTTATCTAATTAGTATATTTGTATATTACACATACTTGGTGTTCTAATTACTATTTCTGAAGTACTATTATTTGTAATAGGTTTTAGTTCATATAAAGATGAATTTGAAGAGCAAGGTGTAMTAGTAGAAAACTCGTGGGATTTATCCAAGGGAATAGCTAGTGTATCAAATRCTAGAAAAAATTAAACCTCGTTGAAATTAATTATTTGTATTAATKGAACAAAATTATAATTACATGTTTCAAAACTAGAGTTTTCCACAACTTTAGAGACTTCACRATTAATATTGGATTGAGGTTCATCAGTATCCAATAGGTCTAAATAAAATTAATTTGTTTATAATAAGGAACTTTTATTTTTATTATTTTATTAAATTAACTCACAATAGGTACTCACATTTTTATACAAAATACCAATGTAACAYCCACAAACTAAGTAACTAGTTTACTCTGCTAGGATTTAAATATAAAATCTCTGATCTCAAATCTTAGATTTCCACARAAGAAACCACATAACCACATTACAATATTAAACAATCAATATTTATTAAGAATTTATATACACAACTACACAAGAGATCATGCATGTTTTGTTAAATAATATTTTAAGTGTACATAAAACTAAAAACAGATATACATATCTAAACCCACATAATTTATTAAGCATCAGTATTATTTTATACATATTGAATACTTACTTAATTTAATTTGATATTATTTAAATTGTATGTTCCAAAATATTCACAATAATCAAATTATATATATCGATTATTCAAAAATTACAATTTATAACATATAAAATATAGCAAAAACCGTCTTAAGACGTTAAGAGAGATCTCCAAATATTAATTGACCAACATTTAAAGTTGAGAAAGTAGTTAGGTACCAAATATCCTATTATTATTGTTTTATATTTTATAATATTTGCTATGACAGAATCTTTTTTGTCTCATGTAATTTCCATATTTAAGCAACTAAAATAGCAATTTAAATATAATTTGAATATATAAAATAAATTAGCCAGAYACAGRACAAATACAGATAAAATTAATTAACTTGTGCTACCCACACTACTAAACAATGATAATCATATTATTATAAATACTTGGTAAAAACATTGTAGGAAGTGATCCTTTATTTAAACGAACAGTACCAATGCTCCTACAAGAATCTTGAAAATGAAGGGTACATATAGCATATTTTTTAATGACCTCTTCTTTAGAGATTAATGATTTTGTCATTGCCTGTCCTTTTAACCCATATACGAAATTCCAAATCATTTTTTGGAAAATAATGTTTGCGAACATTTCTACCACTGGGACAATTTAAAACAATACATTTATCGGAAGGCATGTTGAAATTGGTATGCACGAATCAAATATCAATTACTGAAGACTGAACCATTAGGTAGTAATAGCTACTAATTTTAATTTCAATGGGACTAGGAGTAGGTAAGTAGGGACTGTACATAACAAAAATACATAAAATTAAAAATAGTAAATACCAAGCTCATTGATGTAATATGTAAAGTAATAAATATGGTAGGTATAAGAATAACCTAAAAAGGTATGCCAATATTAATGATCTCCAAATTAAATAATAAATGTTATCAAATGCTAAATATTTTTTTTCAATTTTGGAGGGAAATCTAAATACGATAAATATGATTTTATTTTGTTTCCAAGGTAAACTCTACTACTAGCGCAACAAGTGACAATTGTTTTAACTAAAACCAAACGAACAATTATATCAAGAGTAAGTCGGACACACGATTTAACTATTTAAGATATACAGGTTAAACATCGGCCTATGATATAATGTATTATTTTATGCCGTATAAATGAGTCTCTAAATCAGCTGTGGAACTACTGACTGGCACCATCTAGCGGCATTTAGGTGGAAACTCAACAAACCAAAACGTACTATTTAAAATATTAATAATAATAAATAATTAATTAT